GTGGCATGCCAGGGAAACACTTCTTTATAAAGAGAATCCTGCAGTGGAAAATGTTAGTTGGGTGCAGGAGGTTATTAAGGAGGGTGCTTGTGGAAAAAGGCTGCTTTAGTGTTATGACTGCCAGAATCACTCTAGTCTCTAAATCAATTTCAGTTTTTTAATTTGGCAGGTAAGAATCTGCATGGTGTCTGCTCTGAGATGCAGGACAGAGTTAATCAATAAATTCCAGCAAGCATGTACACATAGTTGCTTTATGACTCATATTCTGAAATGGTTCTCCTACAAATAAATCAAACCACAGAAGTTACAGTAGTTTAAACAGTGTACATTGAGATTTATTAGAACAAGCACTAATAGCAGCAGTGTACAGAGTGATGGAGACAATGTACTGTATGCACTGAACAATAATAATTATACAATTGCACTTCTTCAGAGATCTATTAGAAAATGCTTTTCAGTAAACAGTTTCCCAAATCTAGCATTGTTTCAACTTGCCTCTGAGGGGAAAAAAAAAATACAAAAAAATATGCTTTTTTTTTTTTGGTAAGGCATTAGCAACATTCATTGGCAGGCTAAACACATCATTTGTACATGCATTATCCAATTACACTGCAACAGGTAAAAGAGCATCATGTTTCCTCAAAAAATTAGAACTTACTTACATTGTGATTTCTAACATAATATGCAGTTCAATCAGGCTCAGCCTGAAGGAAACTGATGGACTTTTGTTACATTTTAGCACGTGACGTAAAACTACAGAATAACCATATTCATTTTAATTTCCTAACAAAAGTTGTAAGACTTTCCCTTTCACTGGGGATGATGATAAGGGTCTTGTATACATGAAATACCTTAGTGATATAAAACCTACACTTTAAATTAAATTTCCCTTGCTGAAAGAATTCCCTCCCTCCTCCGGCCAACAGCAGAAGTTTCCGTTCCCAGTCCAGATAATATATTGAACCGCCACTACTTTGTGAACTTCTGTTATTTAATGCACTAGATGTGGAGATCCTAAGTGCTTCTCTGGATTCAGGATAACTACTTCAGTGTAGTCAGAGAGAACTAACTGCACTAGTACAAGCCTTAGAGTAAATGTAGTGTAACATGGGGCACTCACACAAGTCCTTTACAGCTTGTCCCTGGCTGACAAACAGGTCCCATCTAAAAAGTTAGCCAGAGAGCTTTATATACAGCAAAAGCAATTCTATATATACTCGAGCCTAAGAGGAGAGAGGGGAGGCACTTTCTTTCATTTATATGACCCTCCTGGCTGAGGGCAGGAGTATGCCTCTCAATGGGCCTTGGAATAAGCTGCCTCAAGTTAACAATGCTAAATAGAATCTCCTAGTTTTGTCTTCATATGTTAAACTACTCCAGGGTGGAGCTGTCCTGGGGAAAAGTTACAGAGAGCAGATAGAGACTGCGGATGGTTTTATGATCAGGTTTGCAAGAATGCCATTTGAACTGATAGATCCAATTAAACATTTCACCTTCAACCACTCTCCCAAATTCATTAGTAGCTGAAATTTACTGGCAGGGAAAGCTAACTATTTCCCAACATACCATGGGGCCTAGAATTATATTTTGAAATGCAACATGGTCAAGGAGCAAAGGAAGGTGGTATACAGGACTGACCTACAAACAGTAAAACCTACTAACTTCACACCTGTGAGTAGTCCCTTTGACTTCAATAGCGTGTGCGCTATATTTGCATAATTAGTCCTAAATGAGCACTTCAGGCCCCAAATGTGATGCATGTTTAAAGTATAAACTACATCAGGAGGCTCATGAAAACACATGCAGGTGTTCCAAAGCATTTTAGTTCATGAAGCTTTAAAAACACAGCCTGATGGTTATCAAGTATATTAGGTTGACTTTTTATGAATATAATTGTTGAGTCTTTACCTTTTGAACAGTAATTAACATTTGCATTTTTCTAATTGACTTCAGTGGGGTTATTTATAATGTATAAATTAAGCAGGCATACATTTGCAGGATCAAGCCAAAGTAGATAAAATGAGAGAGGGGGGGAGAAGGAACCCACAACTTTATAAACGGATATTGACTGCTAACTCCTGAATTTTTAAAAAAGAAATGCCATTTTTCTAAGATTACTTATATTATTCCACAACTTTTTATGTATAACCATATTAGTGACTGGAATATATTTACGCACATAATTATGCTCAGTATTTGAAGAGAAAGGAAATGTAAAGAACCAGGGAACACATTAATTAAGAATAAATATTTATCTTGGAAGGCCCCAAACCTACAAATGCTTAAGCAAATCAATGAGTACTCACAGAACTGCAGCCAGAATCAGGATTACAATGTTAAAAACTGCACTATTTTGTATAGTTTTGTAGATTTTGAAACAAAAGCTGATTTGCAACTAAAATGCATTTTCTACTGAAGTGTTTGGAATATGCAACACTGATACAGCACTGTTCGTTTACATTCCTAGTAGTTCCCCTCTCACTCATTTCTTCTCTTGCTCCTTATGGAAGCCCATAATGACTCCTAAACATAAAAGGAAGAGCAATGTGTAGGTGTTTCAATATTACAGTGCTCTGAGTATTTTCCATCTGCAACACTGGGAAGCTAGGCAACGGTACATAAAAATGCTCCTTGCTTTCCTCCCCACCCTCAGGTAGCAGTTTCTCTACTGCTTTCATGTAAACAGCATAGTTCCTGTCTATATGAAGGCACAGACACTTTGTAACTACAGTTTTTGATTTCTAGCTAGAACACTAATTATACACATGGTATGAAAAAAGCAACACTAACCTCCTATATGTAAGGTTCCTAGGGAGCAACTATATTATCTGTTTTTAATTTTTGATATTTAAAGAAAAAAGTTACAAAAGGATTTTAACCTTAAGTTTCTAAGTGGGACAACAGTATAATCACAGTGGAAGGATTCTTTCATTACAAAGAAATTGATGAGAAAAATCAACACAAAATTTACATGCAGCAGTGAGCTTTACGTCTTGATCTACAAAGAAAAAAACTGTATTTGTGAGATTCTTGTCAGACAATGAGCACAGTGACATGAGCAATAAGCAGTCTTCCTTTTATTTACACTTTCACTTTCTAATCTGCTAAAGATTTTATATGGAATTATTTTTCTTTGCAACTCTGTAAGGTGTTAGCAAACATAACAGTCGAGTGAGGCAATGCGGACTGATTATCAATCTGACTAAACGCAAAGCAGATTGAGGCGCTACAATATACACCCTAATTAAGAATATTATATAATCTGGTTTATAATTGTATGCCCAAATGATTGAGCAAAGTACATATATTCAGTATGCTGGGGCTCAATACATTTTGCATACAAGTCTTGGCATGTGATGTTGTATCACAGAAAAGCAGTGTGAAGTTGTTCCTTATTCTTAGTGACCTAGTGACAAGTGGGAGAATATAGAATTCACTACTGCCAACGTATATGAATAATATATGTTACTGCAAAAAAATATTTTATACAAAGAAAAGCAGACAGACACTAAAAAGACACACTTCTTGCCACACTATGACAAGAATAACAAAAAAATACCTACCAGGAAAAATTTCCAATATAGATCTATCATAACAATAAATTAGATCACTACAACAGTATAATTAATTTTATCATGGCTTTGTAAGTGCTAAGTAAGGACATCTTCCTCTGAAAAGTTGCAGTGGTAGTAAAAGAGCAAGCAATGAGGTATCAGTTAATACTAAGCATTACTCTGAAGAAGGACAAGATTTGGAACATCAGATTTAAGAGCTGTATTTTCCACTTCTGTACATAGCTGTAAATAATGTCAAAAAGCAACAGCATAACGGATCCAGAGAAGGTTACTGATGTTTTGTTTCAGCCTAAATGTGACATCTTAGAAAAGTCTGACTTAAGATTCAAAGTGCCTAGTTTTGAACTATGGGCACTGAGAATTAGAAAGGCTTAAAACACTAGTTGCAAAATGTAGGGTCTATTTATTATGTTCAGAGAGTCTAAAGATTGGGTTTTTTTAAAAATTCAACCATCACAAGTAAGCAGTCCCTACTGAGGAATCCATGTGTGGAGAAAAAAAAATAGTTTAGAAATAATTATTAAGGAGTGAACATAAGTAAATTAGTGTATTAATTTAAGCAGAGCTTTCCTTTAATGTATTAAACATGTCGGGATTTAATAGCAGGTTTCCTCTTTCCTGATATATTTCCTAAACAACATTCTGAACTTTCCTTTAAATGGCTGAACCAAAGAGGAATGCCCTTGTTAAAATATCCTGTTTATAGGATCAAGTCTAACGAAAGTTGCTAAAAGAGAGAGTCAGCCAAGCTAAGAAATATCCCAAACATTCCTGGGGTGTGAGGGTGGGTGTGTGTGTGTGTGTGTGTGTG